TATATGTAATGAGAATTTATATAGATTCTTATTACATATAACTTTTGCTAATTTTTTTTTTTTCAATGACAAGTTTTTCTTTCAATGACAAGTTTACAGCTTTTGTCAACAATATCATTATCAGAAGAAACGCTGGTGGAAGGAAGAGAATTATACAAAAAAGATGTACGTTGCTAATTGAACCGTCGCACCAAAATAGCTTTTAACTTTACACCTAATTCAGTTTCTCCAAGGTTATCGATCATGAACAATTGTATTGTGTTGGCTGACAACAGTGTTGCATCATTTCGGCACAACGTTTTACAGTCAATTTTATTGGCGCAAGACATAAAGCAACAGGTAAAATTGCATCGAATTCCTTATCCAGATACCTCAACTTTTGACTCAAGGTCAACTAGTGACTTGCGAATGGAATTTTTTAATTTTACGAAACGTTCACGCATTGTGTGCAAGCTACTCCAGTAAGTTTTAAGAGTCAAGTATTAGTGGAAGGCTTTTACCAAATTTGTCTAATGCGTATTTTTGAAGCGTTTGATCATTTTTTATTGGAGAACGGCAAAACAATTTCACAACGGTGCGTACCTTTTGATTAACGGCTGTAAATTACCAATCAATTCAATAGAGTCATTATTTTCACTTATTAAAATTTGAACCTTGCCAGAAAAACTTTCATTCTAATTGGTTTTATTTGTGTCATTGTCAGTATTTCTATCCTCGTCACTTTCACTGCTATTATTGTAATTGCAGATGCCATTCAAGTTTTTTTTTCAGAAGTTGATGGCATTTTGTACAAATCATTTTTGTACATCGGTACCATTGAAAACAAAACCGATGACAATGCTGCATCTTGGGACAGTTTCCTCTTCGGCAAGTCAATTTCATGGTTAGTTCTTAGGTACTTCCACCATTTGATTTTCTTTATCACGCGGAAAATAAAACTAAACAGAACTTTTTTTAATTTGTACACCAGTGCTGAACTCTTTGAATACTCTTTGGGACATTTTATGTTTTTCTAGATATTAAGGTGATTCAGATTCTTAACACAAAATGGATAAAATCTTTTTTCGTAAACGCAATTATAATTGCTGTTAATTCTATAACTTTACATGGCATACCATTATTAATTTTTTTATACCATTATTATTAATTCTATAACATTACATTGGCAAATTACACTATGAACAACGTATTCTAATCTATTATCTTGACGTTTTAGTTAAAAATAGTTTTAAGTTTTAATTTTTATTCAGAAATTTTCTATTAACATTGCTTTTGCATTAGCGCTATATTCTGCTCACATTGCGTATCTCAAACTCTTTAGCGAGCGTGATTTTATACTCTCATTGCAAGATAAACAAGCGTTGTTTATCGCGACTGGAAGTTTTAAATATTTCATCTACTTTTGTGTTTCACGTAAAGAGTGCGATCGCATCCGCTATATCCAAGCCCTCTACATATATTTTTGATACTGGTATTGAGCCAAACCAATACCGGTATTTCGGTACTTAAAAAAGTCCGGAAATACCGGTATTTTGTATTAGTTCTACCGGTATTGGAAGCACTACTCAGGATTTTATTCTTTATCGTTATGAATCTCAAATCCATCCTTGTATGAAATACTGTTGCCATAAATGGGGCGGATCTTTTAATGACGCCCTTTCTCTTTTAGACAAGATACAAAAAGGCATTGTAAACATAATTAGACCTGCTATGGCAGCCAACCTCCAACCAGTATCACATTGTCTTAATGTTGCTTCTCTTTATCTTTGTTATAAATACTATAATAATTTGGGTGCTGCTCTAAAGATCTAGCTTTTAGAGCAGAATTTCAGTTGATGACACTCTTGTGCCATCTACTAAAATTCATTCTCGTGTTACTCGTCATTTAACTAACATTTCACTGAGACTATTCTTAAGTACTTTAAAATTTTTTATTCGTTTAGTTTTTTTACTCGAGCATCAGTTCTTTGAAATTCGCTCCCTTCTTCTTGTTTTCCTGATTTATAAGATTTGCAATCTTTTAAGTCGTCTGTTAACCGTTATATTGCTCTATAAACTTCATCTATTCTGTGGTACTCGTGTCAAAACTCATATCAACATTATGTCGGACACATATCAAGAATGAGTCTAAATAACTTACCAAGGGAGAAGACGTTTACACAAGCTCTCTCCCTAAACAACCAGTAATGGCATAACCTACTATGCGCTTAGACATTAACGATTTTTTTGGGATGTATTGATTGACTTAGGATGTACCTGCTGCATCATTAGTAAAAAATGTGCAACAAAGTTAGCGTGGTAACTGTAAATGGACAGCAATAATAGTGCGTAGGTTTTACACAATCTCGAATTATCGCACCAAATGGGAATGAAGTTTTTGTGGAAGTACTTGTAGTTGTTGTCAAATCACTTGGTTATTGTTACTTGATAGGTATGAATGGAATAGTGGCTCTTAGAGGAGTGTCAATATCTGCAACTTGTGATGTTTGTTTTATAGGAAAAAACGAATCATGTTTACTTAGACCAAAAAATAATATGCTAAATGGTGACAGTAGTATGAATATAATTACTCATTAAATTCACAGCTTCCTTTAAGAAACAAAATCAAGAACGGATAATTGCGTGGAAATGGAATAATAATTCTCAATTTAAAATTCTGGTGAATAAGATTGTTGAATATACTATCCCTGTTGGCATAAAATACAAATACGATAAAGATATTAAAGGGTGGATAGAAAAAAATGGCTGCAAAATTACAATTTAAAGAAACACGGTCCAAATAAAGAGTTTATTTCCTCTCATGTCAGTGGTGCAGCAAAATAAAGTAAAAGTAAGACCAGAATAAGACTTCATGGAATTGAAGCATTCACTGCGAACTTCCTCAATCTAGATTTTCAGTGAGTGCGTCAGTAACTCAATGAAATACCGCTTTCAAATCAGTGCAGTTATGCAATACTTCCATTTTTTAGTTAAAAACAATGCTGATATGAAAAAGACTTCAGAATATTTTCAATATATTGGAAGAATAATCAAAGTAAATATCAAACTTGTTACTTCGGAGTATAACTTGGCAAATGCTCTTACTTGAGTGCCTGACAATTGATTAAAAATAGCTGATAAACCCTCTGAAACGGCAACAGGTAGCATTATTAAAAATTTTCTATCTTTAAAAAAAAATTGATCATGTTCAAATAAACACACGAGAAAAACGGACTTCTTATAGTCCGTGAGAGGAAATGGTTGTTATTCTTTACCAAGGAGAAGTGTAAATATAGTTAATGATTGTTTTAAAGCTAACAACTGATTAGCTTTTCTTATAAATAATTGTAAATGTATTATGACGTAATTATATATAATATAGATATAATAGTTCAGATATAATAGTAAGTATCAAGAATATTAGTTTGTATATAAATGTTGAATTGCATAATAATACATTAACTTATAAAGAACTTTTTTATGCGAAACATCGTAAAATAAGATAAAGTATAAAATGTACAACAGTAGTATATGAACTTATCAGCTTATTTCAAGTAATGTCGAGTAATGTTTGTGACTTCAAAATATAATATTTAGACCGCTTTTTTTTAGATAAACCCTTGCGAATGTTCAGAGTAAAATATAAAGGCATATACAAGGATGAAATTGGGAAAAAGCTTTAGTTTATGGTAACTATGGACGCTGTTATGGAATCGGATGCTACCTCAGAGTGTTTTCAGATCTAATTATAAACCCAAAATTTTTTTTTTCATTTTCTACGTTTGTTGCATAAAAATAGACATATCAAAGTGTAAAATACCACCAATAGAAAAAAATTCAACTTTTTTGGACCATTTTTCATATCCTTACTAATTTATATACGTGTGAATATATGAGTAATAAACTTGGATTAAGGCTTTTTTGTTTAAATATGATCTGGATACCTTAAAATTTTTGATAAACCAGTCAACTTTCTTTTTTTTTTTAGCAACGAGCAAATATTTAACATATTTAACATATTTTAATATAATTAATTGGTAATCAGCTATGTAACTAATCCTTTATTTAGTTTATTTTTTTAAATTGAAAATTAAATCTAACCAGAAGTAGTTATTTTTAACGCACAATAATTTTATTGGTTTTTGGTGACAAGACTTAATGGTCTTTTTCCAGTTTCTGCGTTCTTTATTTATTTGTTATTATTTTTCTTTTCTATTTAACAAAACCTACTTTTGTAATTATTTCTTTTTTAAACCTATATTTATTATACTTTTTTAATTGTATATATATTTAAGACTGACAATACAAAATGGTTTAATGTGAAAAATTATATGTTAAAAACAGGTCTGTCTGTATCATAAATAATAACTTTAATTTTGACATTTTCTGATTAATTGTAAATGATAAAAATAACCTCATAAATAATATAAAACTTATTATTTGCTAATTAAAATATAAATAGTATAAAGACAAATGACAGCAGCAAGGGTACTTGTTATCTTTACAAAATTTTACATTCTACTAAGTTCATATAAATTGCAAACAAAAGATGCATTTGTAAAGCGTTCTTGTATATTAAACAAGAATGTTTTTCAAAGAAAACTTTTCTAAGTTTCCTCTGTTCAAAGCACTGTTTTGTTTTTAATATGCATTTATGATCTTCTGTTTTTAACATACTTTTTAACTAATAATTCTCTTAATAGTTTTAATATACATTAATGTTTGGAGATGTTACAAATTTACTTTATACATCAATGTCGATTAAAAAATAATTAAAACAACAGATAATGAATTTGAAAAATTAAACTTTTATCATACTTTCAGAATTTTTCTAGAGTGTTGTGATATTTTAGAATAATTATATGTTTTTAGCTTGTAATTTTAGAATAATTAAATATTTTTAGCTTGTAATTAAAGTAATGCTAAAAAAACTTAACTAAAAACATTACATTAAGCTAAAAAGAAGGATGGTATTTTACTTTACAACCATCGTTAAAGTAAATGCTTGAAAAAAAAGTGACCTTTTGGCTTTGCAACTTTGTTGTAGTTTTTCATCGCTATTTGAAGCGCTACTTCTGGTAAAGCACCTTCTATTTCATCATTGGATTCACTAGAAGTTTAACATAAAAAACAAAATAGCAAACAAAATAAATAACGGAATAAATAAAAGTCAGTGTTTTAATAGTGCTTTATTACAACTAACCCTACGGGCATTTGTTTTTTAAAGTTACGTCCTGAATGTCTTTTAAACGTTTTTTAAACATCTTTAGAACGTAATTTTTAAAAACAAATGCCCGCTGGGAATATAGATCTAATTATTGAAAGTAATTACTAAACTACTAAAAAACATTACTATAATTAAAAATAATAAAGTTTAAACATATTGAAAAGAAGCTTTTCTATTTAATTTTTTTGTTTAGGTTATAAAACTATAAGTGAAAGCAAAAGAGTAGAACAAATTACTTTTTTATCTGCTGCTTACGGAGCCAAGTATCTTTTTCGTTATTTATTTTTACATTAGATGCTTTCAAAATGTGCCACGAAGTAATGATTAACTCAATCAAAATATAGTTATTCATCTTACATAAAAGCTGGAATTAAGTATGAAAAGTTTTTTGGTTCATATGCGATTTAACATCTTCGGAGCATATAAGTATGTACAACATATGTATATACGTACATATAAATATATATATATATATTTATATGTAAATATACATATATAGTGAGAAAGAAATTAAAAAAATTAATTATTAAATTTTTTAACCACCTTTTAAAATATTTATAATAAATGAAAGTTTTTTTCTTTTCATGTTAATTGTTTTTATATTGGAACGGCATGCATTGAAAGCTAATACATTCCCTCTTTTTGAAATAAAACTTAACTAACAATATCTAAACGGTTCTTGTTCGTCAAAAAAAAGTTATAAATATGTAATTTATATTATTACTTCGAGATTTTTTTAGCGGATTATGAAATGTTACTTTAGAAAACTTCGTCGGTTCATTTATTTTAAAAATAAATCTCAACCTATCTTGTGGAAAAAAACTTTCATTGTTTAATTTTTACAGCGAAAAATCAAATACAAGAAAAATGTAAAAAAAAAACTAATTTAAACAAAATTTTATAAAATTAAGGAAGAAAGAGTTATGTCTATTATCAGTAATAAGACAGCAACTGATTTAAATATCTATAGTTGACGTATATGTTTTTTATTTATTTTTATCTATCCATGCACAAAGAGCCGACAACACGGGTTTTAAAGTAGGGGGTATAATTGTCAGTTAAAAAAATGTTTTTTATATCTTGAAATTTCAAGAAAAAAAAAGAAAAATTCAAAAAAGTCCTTTTGAAAAAATTGCCTCCGGCCATCCCGGTGACGTTGGCCGCGGCACATAATGATTTAGATAAAAAAAAGCGTTATTGACGGCAATTCCAAGGTTCTTAAAAGTAAAATTGTTAATAACTTTCTTTTCAAAACAATCATGGTTTACCAAGGAGGGTTGCGCTTGGTAAAGGGCATAAAATAAGCGTTAATGTAGTTAAATCAGTCTTTGATATTACTAAAAACTTATTGTTTCACATTTTTAATCTTTAATTAATTTTTTAATTTAATTTTTAATCTAATTAATTTTTAATTTCAATCTTTTTAATCTCTCTTTTAATCTCATCTAGTATTGTACCAGATAAACTTAGAATAACTAATATCACACCGATTTTAAAGTCTGGTACAAACCTATTTCTATCTTATCTTGTTTCTCTAAATTGCTAGAACGCATTATGTACAATAGGCTTTATAATCATTTAGTATCTAATAATATTTTATACAACAAACAATTTGGGTTTTAAAAAAATCATTCTACGGATCGCGCGGTAATTGAACTTGTAAAACATATATCGGATGCTTTTTTTAAAGATTATTTTACCTTATGAGTTTTCATTGATCTATCCAAAGCATTTGACACTGTCAATCATGAAATCCTTATTAAAAAAAAATTAGAACTTTATGGAGTAAACAACTTAAACTTACTATATTAGGTATAAACATTCTTTTTAAACTTTTTAATGAAGGATTATCTAAAGTAAATGAATGGTTTATAAGTAACCGCCTTTCACTAAATGTAGATAAAACTAAATTCATCCTGCCCCGCAAACCAAATAAAGTTGATAATATTCTACTTAAAATGAACGATCTTTTATTCAATAAAACAGATGTGAAAAGGGAATCTGCTGTTAACTTTTTAGGAGTAATCTTGATGAAAACTTGTCATGGAAGTTTCCCATCCAATCCATTGAAAGAAAAATCTCTATTAATACTTCCGTACTTTATAATAAAAAACCATTTTTAAATACAAGAGCTCTAAAGAAAATTTATTTTTCATTTATTCACAGCTATCTTTCCTCCGGCAAAATTTTTATATATATATATATATATATATATATATATATATATATATATATATATATATATATATATATATATATACATATTTTTTTTGTGTATTTAAATATATATATATATATATATATATATATATATATATATATATATATATATATATATATATATATACATATTTTTTGTGTGTATTTAAATAACATTGATTTTATTTTGTTATATTTTGGTTTTGGAAAACTCTATACCATACATATATATACCGTATCTATATACATGTGAAAGTAGGAATTACGGAAAACTCAAGAAATTTTATAGTAAACAAAAGCATGCTTGTAGGATTGTATTTGGGGCAAACAGAACTGTGTATTGCAAACCACTATTAAACATTTATAAGGTCTTAAATATTTATAAACTAAACAGTTACCAAATATTACTTTTCATGTTTAAAATGACACACGGAATATTTCAATATTATTTTAGTGAAATATTTCATTATTATCAAAGTTTTCAAAGAATAACTTATTGCTCCGAGAATAACTTATTGTTCCGAGAATTATTATATAAAGTAAGTTCTTATCGCATTCAATATCGCATTTAATATCGCATTCAATATCGAGGATCTTTTTTATGGAAAAATCGCGTAAGTGCGAACTAGTGTAATTGCCAATTTGCATAAATGCAAACTGACATAAGTACAAAGCAGTTGCAAATATTGGCATAAGTGTGAAATAGCATAAGCGCGAACTGTCATAAGTAAAAATCAGTTGCGAAAACTGACATAAGCGCAATTTGGCATAAGTGCCCTAAAATAATATGCAAAAGTTGGTAAGTGCAAATTTGCATAAGTGCGAAATGCCAATTTGCACTTAAGTTAATATTTGCAATTTTATTTGGTGCACTTATGCCATTTTGCACTTGCGCCAGTTCGCATTTGTGTCAGTTTTTGTAACTGCTACACACTAATACAAGTTCAAACCCATACCAATTTAATTAGCGCACTTATGCCAATATGCATTTATGCAAATGTTTGCAAATTCCTTTGGCTCTTCTATGCCAGTTTGCACTTACGCCAGTTTTTACAACTGCTTTGTACTTATGCCAATTCGAACTAAAGAAATTCGAACTTATTCAGACTACGCAATAAATGGGTGGTTAGCAATCAATTTCTAAAATCTAATTTTAATTTAATAATAACTTACAATTAACTTAATTACCGTCCCAAAGAGATCTTAAAGAAGGAGGGGGGGGGGGGGTGAAAGGGGGCTGACGTATCTGGTTTCTACCTTTTTTGGCTTCATAAAAATTCTTTGCCGACTAAGATAAAAATAATATAAAAAGGGTCCTCGTTGGCTAACGTCCCGCCTCCCTGTATAATTTAAAAGCTTATTTTTGGCAAATCAATATTTCGAGATTTTTTTTTTAAAGATCGAGAATTTTTAAGGTATGATTACACTGAAGTTTTTATTTTTATCAGTGACTGATTAAAGTAACTAATAAATGAAAATGACTGATATATTTTCTAATGTTAAAGATCGGTTTACACTATTTTTTTTTAGTTTTGATAATAAACTTTTTTTTAATAATTAATTAGGAAGGGAGGTAAGGTAGGTCTTGTTTTAGCTTGGGATGTGTGAAGCTTTTCCGAATATTAATAGGCGCCTCCTTCGGGTGTATTAAGCCTCCTTTGGGTGTATTGAGCCTCCTTCGGGTGTATTAAGCCTCCTTCGGGTGTATTAAGCCTCCTTCGGGTGTAAAGTTTGGGATTATTATTTAATTGATTGAATTCGAGTTAATGATAATGACGATAAAAAAACTAAAATATATTTTAATTACCTAAATATTTTTATAGTTAGAATATTACAAACAGTAATATAATACTAGTAAATAATATAATAATAGAATTTTTAGTCTTTTTTCAAAAAGTTTTGGAGCAAAATCTAAGCATGAATCATACTTAAGCATGAATCATACTTAAGTATTTTTGTCTTTTTTCAAAAAATTTTGGAGCAAAAACTAAGCATGAATCATTCTTAAGTATGATTCATGTTTAGTTTTTGCTCCAAAATTTTTTGAAAAAAGACTAAAATTTCTATTATTATATTAAAAGAAAATCAATCACTAAAAACAATGCTAAATTGAGCTATATTAATGCAAAGTGCTATATTATTCTAATGTTAGGTATCTAGTAATGTTGGGTTTATTAATCTATCTTATACTTCAGATTTATTAATTATAGTATCATACTATAATTATAATATGATACTATAATTAATAAATCTGAAGTATAAGATAGATTAATAAACCCAACATTACTAAATACCTAACATTAGAATAATATAGCACTTTGCATTAATATAGCTCAATTTAGCATTGTTTTTAGTGATTGATTTTTTTTTAACAATTTACAAGTATTATAACTATTTTGTCCTTTGGACACCTTTATGGATGAAATGAAAAAAACTAATAAAACTTTTTTTTTTAAATAAAATCGTTTATAATAATATATTATTATATATATTAAAATAATATAGTATTAATTTTTATATTTAAATTTTAGGTAAAGCTACAGTTTTTTTTTTGTGCTTGTTACGCTCTCGTAAGTGGAGACTATTTAAACGTAAGAAATATTTATTACATCGACTATCTTATAGCCTGATGCTACAAAGAAGTGTGCTGCTACATCGACTATGGGTTAGGCATGGGGCAGCAATCTTTTTTCTTTCATTATTTTAATAAATATTATCTGCGCAACAAACGAAAAAATAAAATTAATTTAGGCGGCTGAACTGTAGCATTACTAAATTTTAAATTTTATTTTAGATATTTTTAGTGTAAATCAAAACTTCAAATCTTCAATAAATTACTTTTTATGGATGAACCAGCTGGTAGTGGAATAATGTTTAAATACAAATATTTTTTTTTTGCTGAAACCATAAGTATAGTTTTTAAATCTGCATGTACCAGCGTTGCAGCAACTCTTCAAACTAATGGAAGTAAAATATATTGCTTATTCTACCTACCTAAGACGCAGCTATCTATCTTCAAACTAATGGAAGTAAAATATATTTCTTATTCTACCTACCTAAGACGCAGCTTTGTGTCCCAATATTTTATAGTAGCATATGTAAAGTAGCTCGTAACTCTAACGATGGTAACGATGGTAACGATGGTAACGATGGACACCTTTTAAGGTAAGTTACTTTATTATTGCTAGATGAAACATCATTGATACCTAAACATGTCTTAAATACAATTGTAGGCTGTTAAAGATGTTTGCAAAATGAAATTATTGTTTGGAAGAAAAGTCTTTTTTGATTATAATATTAGACAAATACTGTCTGTCGTAAAAAGTGTTTGCATGTGTATAAAATATTTTTTGCAGTAGCAATAGGTGCAGAAGTTTCATTAACTGTAAACATGAGAGTGCATGATGGAGAAGGAAAGTTTTTCCAATGGTTAGTAAAACTTGATGCTGGAACAATGCTTGTCAAGAAGGCGCATTGAAATACAACATTAGTGCATTATAAAAAAGAAAATGATTTTGATTTTGAAAAAAAATTTAGAGATGCTGAGCAAGATGATTAATTTAAACATATGATTATAATTTCAATTAATGTGATTATAATTTCAACTAATAGATAACTATGGATATTATTTTGAACATTTAATAAAATAAAATAAAAAAAAACTCTTTTATTTTTTTTATAGGGGAGTTGTACGAACTTTCCTAACGACCTAAGTATATATTATACCTCTCTAGGAAGGTTTAAATCAACTGTTTAACAGCTGTTTTAAACCTTTAGATATTCATTATATCTGAAGGTTTAAAATAGACTACATAAAATATATTTACAATAGGCTTCATTTCCTAATGTGCGGGTTCCGTTTATCATTTATTAAAATAATGAATAATAAACGGTACCCGCGCATTAAGAAATAAAGCCTATTGTAAATAGATTTTATGTATCTATAAGCAAACCATGGTGAAAAAGTAAACAAATTGCTGAAACGTCTTTTAGCAAATAAATTTATCAATAAACTTTAAATCAAAATTTAATAATAAATTTTAAGTCACACAGAAATTTTATATGTGCTGTAGAAGTTATAGCCATTTTTTTTGGAAGGAGCCATAGTGGGAGATGGGAAGGGAATGGAGGAGGAGGGGAAAAAGAGAAGGAGGTGAAGGGGTTAGAAAGGAAAGGGGCAAAAGTTTTACAGGGATACGTACCGCAAAAACCACAAAAAAAGCACATCTCAATATTTTTTAACCTTTGCTTTTGCAGATGACTACTTTAAGTATGTATAGTGTTGCTCGAACATTAAATTTTAGTTTACTTAAGTATGCGTAATGTTAATTAAAATTAGTTCTTTCCGATTGGTTTGAATACTTTTTTAGGAATAAGTTTGTTTCAAATATAGTCTTGATTTTTATGAATTTTTTTGTAATTATAATTAGAAACGTGATTTACCAAACCCATGAGAAGATAACGTTCTTTATACTTATTACAAGCATCTCATAATCATCTTCCTTTACAAGACAAATCTTCATAACATTCTGAAAAAAACAAACTAAACAAATATTAAGTCTTGTATAAACAAGCTCTTCATTAGATCAAAAATATATAAAAATTTGCCATCTTGAAGATTGTTATACTGGCGGAAAAAAAAGTTTTGTAGTTAATTAAGTTAATTACCAAAATTTTAAACAAAATTTCCATGAGTATGAACATGCCAGAGAATGTTTAAAACTATGAAGTTGAAATTTATAAATGAGGTTGTTGTGCGTTTCTTCCATAACTTCACTGTATGCCGATACAGTAACAGAATCTACTCCAGAGTAAGTTCCATAATCACTCTCATTAATGACTCTTTGTTCAATTATGTTGAACAAATTTGAAATAACTTTTGTTGAACCTCTATTTTATACGCATTTTATTTATTATTTTGAATATTTATTGCTATTATAATTCTTCTATTCAAAATCAAAAGGTCAAACCTGCATCTATGTCAAATCTTAAAATTCTACTAAAGAGATTTTGCTTTCTACACTCAATGACAAACTGTAATATCTAGTTTATATTGGTTTGACCCAGAGCTAAAGGGACTTTAAAACAACCTACTTAAAATGATGGTGGGAGCTTCTTCATTAAATTCACTATTGTGGTTCTCTGCGAAAAGATTTTTATACCTAGAGGGCTTTAACAACTCATTAAAACCTTTTTTTTTTTTCTTAACTTTTTTATTTTTGAATTATTAATTTTTAATGCAGTATTAGCCTGATATCTTCTTCTTTGAACTTTTAAAATTTAAAAACAAGGCACTAATTATCTTTTTTTTTATTTCTAAGAACATAATAAAAATTGTATGCTGCAACAAAGTCATTGCTAGTTTATAGATTTAAAATCTATTTATGTTATCAAACTATTAAGTAAGATAGAAAAAACTAAAGAAAAAATATATTAAAACCTTTGAAAAAATGCAGAGAAACAAAGTATCAAAACAAAAAAATTTATTAAAAGTAAAAAGAAAACAAATTAGCTTTCATTCGTTAATTTTTTACTGCGGATTAAAAATGTTTGAAGTTAGTGTTTTACCAAGATTAGAGAGCTGATTTCATTTGAGTCTATTTACTTATATACAACCACTTATATGTATATGTACTTATTTATTAATATACATATGTTTATTAAACATTATCTGTAAAATGTATTTCGTCTGAAATACTTTCATCGATGTCTGAATTTTTATTGGATAAGACAAAACAGCGAGTATCATTAGATAAACTGGTTTTAAACCGATTTTTATGGAACTCTTCACGAGTATTTTGTTCTGGATGTATCCAAATTATTTTTATTTTATTGAAAAACAAAATGACCAACAGCAAAAAATTTGTAAGATTTTTTAACAAACAGTAGACAAACGTTTTGTTTGTTGAACTGAGATTACTTTGAATGATTCCAACCATTACACTCCAAACTATACTTGATAAAAACAAAGAGTAGGCAATGCATTTGTTCTCATTAAATTTACATGGAAGATTTCGTCCTTTGAATGTTGGAATTCCACAAAAAAAAGATAAAACAAGCAAAAAGCATAAATGAATTGTTGAAAAACTTATTGAATCGCAATATTTTTGTACAGTAAAAGACGTCATGTCTTGCACATCTGATACATTTACTGCATACCTGCTGTAGTGGACAACAAAAATTATTGTTATATATGTGCTAGGAACAAATACAAGTAGTATAGCAGTTTTAGTCATTAAATAAAGCTTTTCATCAGGTGTCATAGTTTCGTATTGAAGACTCTTTTCAAAAATCTTTACAATGCGAATTATTTTAACAAACAAAATGGCAACTATAAAAACGTGTAAAAAGCCTCCAAAGTATATTCTAATGATGCATTTCATATTTGACTCTTCTCCAAATGCTAGGAAAGTTATGGCAAACATCAAAAGATGCATAGTCATCTGAACTAATGAAAGTTCATAGTGTGACGAACGAACAATTGGGGTTAATTTCATTTTAATAAAAGTAAATATAAATATCAGCGCAGTTACTACGCCAAAACTGGAAAATATTATTGTTATCACTTGTTGTATTATTTCTTGATTGCTTCTAAAGTTCCAATAAATTCGTTTGAGTTTGACGCATGAACTTTTATCTAGATTTGAAAAAAAATTGTTTTCTTCTTCACATTTTATACAGCTTTCATCTGGAAAAGTAGCTACGGTATTTTCTGAGCAGGGAACACAGTCCCAACAACACGAATTAATCAATGAAGCTATCTTTTTTTCACCTGAATTACAAGGAAGCGAGCATATTGATTTTATTTGGTCAAATTTCACGGTTTCATTATATGTTATCTTTAGATTATCCAAAGACCATGTGGCGGCCAAAACAAAACTTGAGATATCAGCAGAATAAAGTTCAAAGTATGCCGGACTTTGAGGATTTTGATTTGAATCAAAACTAAAAGTTTTTGTGTTGCCCAAAATAGAAAAACTTATTTTCTTAACATACTCTATAAATTTGGCTCGATCGTTTATAGTTTGAAACTCGGTATCATTTTGGTTGCTTGGAAAGTTTGATTGATATAGAAGTAAAGCGTTGATCAGTACTTTGGCTGCGTCTTGAACAAACGAGACACCACTGAGATCAAATACTTGTGAAATGTTTTTCAAAGAAAAATCTGAAGTGGTTTCATTAATGCCGTAATTCTGAAAAGCAACTTTTAACCATTCACTAGCGTTCTCATATGTCAGACTCAAAAAGTATTCATTAAAAGCTTTGTCTATTCCCTCCGTTTGAACAACCAAAAATATGTTATTTTTATGCATTTTGTTAAATTCAAGAAACCAGAAATTTTTACCGGCACCTTCGCTTATTAACCATGTGTGATTGGTTAGATTCCTACTTTGAGTCACCAATAAAAGGTCTTGTAAAGGTTTAAATGTTCCCCAATATACAACTACTTTTGCAACGCTTGTAATCAGTTTGTCAATAATTTCAAAATATTTAGTTTTATCAAAAGTTTCTGGAAGAGTAAAATAATGATCAATGCATATTCCCTTTTTCAAGATAACTTGCGACAGCTGCTCTACTCCTGCTCTTCCGTATGAATTATCTAATGCAACTACTGATATGTAGGACCACCCAAACCTTTTCAAAACATCGCTTATAAAAAGTACTTGATATTTGTCAGGTGGAATGGTTCTAAAAAAATGAGGAAAAAGTGTTTTATCTTCTAGTTCTAGACTTGTTGCGGCATAACTAATTATAGGGATTTTCTCAAATGGTGATATCAAATCATTAACGTATATAGAACTAGAGGATTCTGCAGGACCAACAAAACCTAAAATGTTACCTAGCTTTAGCTTTCTATTAGGTATACTGCAGTTGCATGCATAATTATTGTTAAACAAAAGAGCATCTAAAACAGCAAACGAAAGTTTTTCCATGTTTGAACTATCAAGGGTATCATAAATGACGTAGTCGAATATGGTATTATTCAAAAACATGTTTGCCTCATTTACCGTATACTTTAGCGCCTCCATCCAACCAAAAGTAAGTTTGTTTATGTTGTCTGATGTAGAACAATTCATTGGAAATAAACCAACTATTGTAAATTTTCCCTTGATAGCGCTTGCTGTATTAATATCCATGCAGTTTTCACATAAAACAAACAACCCAAAAAACAACCATAAATACATTTTTAAAACAAAAAAAAATACAATAAACTCGTAAATGATTCTTTGATATTAACTTTCAGTTTATGCTGCTATTTAATACTGTTAAAATATTATATCAACTTGATGATAAAAAGCTGTCTTTGATTTTTTTTTAATTTAATACTGAAATTATTTTGAATTTAACACTCATATTTGCTTTCTTTGCTTTAATATAAAAAATTTGTAAAACTATTAAGCAACTACTAAGGTTTGATTAATCGAGTTTATAAACGTGTTGTGAAATGACAAATCTGATAAAAAATTATATAGACGCTAATCCTGACTAAATTGTTTTATAATCTATATATATAATTGAATCTGTCATTTCAAAAGGAAACAAGTACATTTATTAAAACTTTTCAAAATCAACAAAAACATGATTTTTATTAAAATAATGTCTACGCTGGTAAAGAAACTAAACATGGAAGTAGATAAATAATGAAAGTATATAACTTATGTAACTTTTATTTTTTATTAAAAAAAAAAATCATTCAGAAATTTTTAATTTAAATTTTCGAAATGACAAGCTCAATTAGTCCAGTCAATGCTTAATGCCGTTAGTTACTGAGTTAGCTACAACTTTGTAAAATTTTAAAAATGTTTTCATTTTCTATACTGCGCACAATGCGCCAGCTATGGACAAAAGTCAAAATTTTGACATGATTCAATCTGTCAAAAATTATATACAATGTTTTATAGATATATCTAATTAAAGTTCTGGAATTGTTTTATTATATTTGTTGTTAAATAATTCTTAATCATCTTCCGGAACAGCTTTATAATAATTCGGTGAAAAGTTGACAATTTTTTTCATAATTTTGTTTACGTTGTTAAACAGTTTTATTTAATTATTTTTGCAAAAGTTTTGATTGCTATTTTGTTACAATTTAACATTTAAAAGGTAATACTTAGCCACAGTTATGGATGCTAATGTCATTTTAAGTAAATGAATATTAAAAAAGGTATAACACAAGAGTTTAATTTACTAACATTACTTAAATGCGCCAAATTAAATGCATCTTTTTTGGGCCGGGGTAGGGCAGCAAACGAATGGTCATTAGCTGTTCTTTAACATGTATGGAAGCCAACACACTTGATTTTATGGACGTAGAGAGACGTATTTGAGCTACAAATTGAGTACAATTGGTTGCTATAGTACCAAATTTTACATAGTAACAACTTATTTTTACATTTTTATGTAAAAATGAGTTGTAAAGGATCTACTAACTTATTCAACGTTATTTTAAGAGTTTTTTAATCTTGCTATGTACGCTATATTAAATACGTATATTAAAATGAGATTCACATTTCTTATGGAAGTCATAATTTTGTTTGGTTGCGATGGATCAAGACGTAAAAAGAGAAATCACTTTGAAATTTCTCGGTGTTCTGCTTGATGAAAATGTGACGTGAAGAGATCACATACATTATCTCGAAAATAAAATCTTTAAGAACATCGGTCTGATTTGTAGAGCAAGACCTTTTTTAAGTTCATAATGCTTAAAATTTTTATATTTCTCTTTCATTAATTGTCATTTAAATTATGCAAACATTGCTTGTTGCAGTATAAATAAAAATAAAATTAAAAAACTTTTTAACAAACAAAAACATGCAATCAGAATCATATCCAATGTGGGACGTTTTACACATTCTCAAGCATTGTTTATTAAGCTAAATATAATGGATATCTACGAAATAAACATCTATCATGTTCTTATATTTACGTTCAAAATTAATAAAAATTTATCTCTTAAAATATTTAACCTGCTATTCAAAATAAATCAGAACAGATACTTAACCAGGTACTCGCATAACAGCTACCATCAGCCCACAAATTATTTTTCGGCTATTAAATTTTTAATTTCTACTAGAGGACTAAAAGTATGAAATAAAATATTAACTAATGATCTTAAAACAATTGCAACGCTTAATGAGTTTAAGACCAAATTGAAGCAAAGACTGTTTATGAGCAACGCAGCGCATGGTTTCTTCTAATATATATGTAAAGATGTATACTGGTTTAAAAGGGAAGTTTCAGGATTATGAGTATTTGTGTGCATGCTTTTTAAGTATATAATTTTTTGCTTTACTATAGTATTTGCTTTTACTTTGGTATTTATATTTTGTCCTTTTGTTAAATTAAAATAAGAAAAAAAAGTAGATTTTTATAGTTAGAGAGGGGCATTCAGGACCTATGAATTTTATCTTTTTGTTTGTTTGTTGTTTGTTTCTTTTAAATATAAAATGTCTATATAACAATATTTTATACGCTGTAGTGCTGCAGTTTTACGATTTTTATATTTTATTATTGTGTATTACGGTATAGATTAAGGGGCTTGGCGATAAGACAAATGTCTTCTTTTAGCCCCTTCTATTTGTATTTACATATGTTTTATGGTTTGAATAAATTTATATGGCAAAAAATTATTAAAAAAAAAAAAATTGAAAACCTAATTTTTTAAATTCTTTTTGCATAACAACAGTATTGATTGCCATTTCATTACATTTTAACATTTAAAAGGTAAATCTTAGCCACAGTTATGGATGCTAATGTCATTTTAAGCTAGAATAAAGAATTAATAGAATTAGCATAACATAAAAGTTTTATTATTTAAATGTGCTAAATTTAAATTATTGTGGCTGAAATTTTAAATCTGGATGTACTACTGCTGAAAAAGTTGCACGTCATCTTGGCTATATTGTCATCAACTCTGCCAATTAATGCAGATGCATTTCAAAAGTACTGCCTTGAGGTAAGTTTATTTTTGATTATTATTTCTATACTGCGATGTGGCTAACTTAGCTTTTGTAATAACATGATTGATTGCCTCTTTTAGGTGACTCATTTGATTGTACAGAGCTACTATGGTATTACATGCCACAAAATTAGCACAAGATGTTATAACACTGAAATGAGGCTGTGATGAGAATGTTCTTGTCTATTGGCATGCTCTCTGGAGAGGCACAGGAAGCACGAAACAAAATTTTTTAACTTTTTCGTGAAAACTAGACACGCAAATACAGTCGTTTGAAAACTATGATGTATTTGCCGACTTTTGTGCTCATTAAAATCAATAACCAGTAGCATTAGGAAGTCAAATTCTCAAAATTCAAAATTCAGAAGGAGTTAGTGTTTTGCTTCAGACTCCGACTATCGACTCACCCAAAGTATGGTTTCTTATTTTATGCATGTATGTATCTCTATAATTAATAGCCGAATGAATATTATTATTATTATTAGTGCGCATAGTTACGCGTATTGTTTTATAGTTACGGTACGGTTCTGTATCTGTAAAATACACTTTTTAAGCAGTTTCTAGACTTTTCTTTACCGCGTGCTTTCTTATAGATTTCCTTTCAACCTTTCATGGTACGAGTTCAAAATGTCCAAGTTGACATTAAGTATATAATGTTTAGTAGCTTAAAATATAGGTAATCTAAGATCTTTTTTAAATTTAAAAGTAATTAATTTATTGTAATCTTTTTTAAATTGTAATTTTAAATTTAAAGCTTCGTGTTATAGATTACTTTAATTCTTAGATTGTGTCTAGCTTTAAAATATATTTATGGGTAGTTTCATGCTTTCACATAGTTTTGGTTATTGGGATAAAAGCCATGACAACATTTTGTTATAACTTTATCTTAATTTAATTATTATTGAAAATTTTGTTATAAATAAAACTTATCTTTAATATTGTTAACACTTTTGCTCTTTGAAAAAAAATATGTTTCTGGCTCTTCAATAAATATAAAATAATTTGTCTTGCATGAATGAATTTTGGTTTAGGGTTTAATTGTGTTATTTATGTTTGTCTATCTGTAATTTATTTAGGTTATTAGAAAATTCATGTTTACAGAGTTGTTATTAATCATAATCGAGTTGTTAAATCAAGGAAATTGTGGAGGTTTATTTATCTTATATACTATATATATATTATATAATTATATTGGAGGGAGTAAGATTAAAAGCATTTTCAAATTTTTAAAAAGAAATAAAAATACTTTTCAATATATATCTGTTTTCTTTGAGGTAGAACTAAAGTTTCAGTTTTTTAAAATTTAAATTTAAAGTTTCAAGTTTTCAAAATCGTAATCTTTTCAAAATGTCATAATCAAGTTGTTAAATTATTCATAAACAAGTTGTTGAACCAAAAAAATTGTAGAGGTTTATTTATCAAATATACTATATATATTAATTTTGGTTTTCATATGTTTTCGCAAATAAATAGTTTTATATATATATATATATATATATATATATATATATATATATATATATATATATATATATATATATATATATATATATATATATATATATATATATATATATAGAACATATATATATATACATAGTTATATATACATATATATATATATATATATATATATATATATATATATATATATATATATATATATATATATATATATATATATATATATATATATATATATATATATATATATAGAATATATATATAGAATATATATATAGAATATATATATATATATATATATATATATATATATATATATATATATATATATATATATATATATATATATATATATATATATATATATATATATATATATATATATATATATATAACTATGTATATCCTTGGAGTTGCGGCAGCGTAATAGTGTGTTGGGGGAAAAAAATTTATAAATCTGCGTTATTAACCCGTTTTCTATTGTACATAACGCGTTAATAAGTTTTATTACCCGTTTTGTTCAATGTTTTCTCCCAACGCATGCCTTATGACGCTGTCTGCGAAGATATGTTGTTTGTTTCTAAATTGTTTTTACTTTATTAGAAACAGAATAAATTTTAACTTTTTGTATTAAGTTTTTGCTAATATGGTTGCAGGTTTTTCTTAACTTCTATCAAATAAACTTAAGAAACCTGTATTACTTTTGATGATGGCAAATTAATTTTGTTTTGCATTAGTTTGGATTCTTTATATATTTGTTTTGAGAATTTTTTTTTTTAATTTTTTGAGTAAGATTTTTTTAGTTATTTATTAAGTTTTTTTATTTTATTGTTAACTTTAGAGTAGTAAAAAAAAGAATTAATTAGAGTTGCTTTGATAAATATGTTTAATCAAAACGATGACATTGAAATGAATGATAGGCTAGATGAAGTTATGTATATAAAAAATGATGTGAGTGCTATAAGGCGTGTTGAAAATAGTCGTAGA